GAAAGTTGCTGAGCAGAGTTAAGAAGTTAAAGATTCGGGGTGTTCTGCAGAGAGAGTCCAACAGAAGGCCAGGAAGATGATAAAGGGCCTGGAGCATCTCCTCAGTATGGAAAGGCTGGGGGACCTGGCTCTGTTCAGCCTTGAGGAAAGACGACTGAGAGCAGATCTGATTAATGCTTATGTATTTGTTAAGTGTGGGAGTCCAAAGGACATGGCCAACCTCTTGTCAGTGATCTGTGGGGACAGGAGAAAGGGAAATGGCCACAAACTGGAGCACAGGAAGTTCTGCACTAAAATGCAAAGGATCTTCACGGCGAGGATGATGGAGCGCTGGAACAGGCTGCCCAGGGAAGCTGTGGCTTCTCCTTGTCTGGAGATATTCCAGACCCTCCTGGACACCCACCTGCGCAGCCTGCTGTAGGGAGCCCGTTTTGCAGGGAGCTTGGACTCAATGATCACTGGGGGTCCCCTGCAACACCAATTCTGTGGTTCTGTGATTTTAATTCTTTCTTCTTGCAGCGATGCAGTGTTTCAGAAGAGAGAAAAGCACGGCGGGCATCAACTGGATTTCTGTGGTTGGTGAAGCTGTGCTGAGAAGTGGGCTGACTGCTGCCCCTGGAAATGAGTCTGCAGACTTTGCACCCAGAGGAATGACTTTTCCCTGCAGATTGGGCTTGTCTAAGGTAGGTCACTACTAGGTGAGCTTCTGCTTTAAAACATCAAGTTGTACAAATAAGGAAGCTTCAAAAGCAAGATTGCCAATTCTTTTTTACATAGGTGATTTTTTCATGAGGAAAGATTTGAAATGCTGTTTGCTAATGGAAGATGGAGAGAAGAAAATCAAGTGAAAGGCACGCTGTGCATAGCCAGCACGTAGCATCTGCACCACTCTCCCCCTGCACAAAGGAGGAGCAGCTCAGCAAGCTTGGCCTGGGCCATGGAAGGCAGCATACAAACATCTGGACCAACTCCAACGGAGCTGCTTCTGCAGGTTGGTTGTCTTCCACTGTGTGTCTGCCATCCTGTTGCTCCGGGGTAGATGTGTTCATGTTCAGCTCATGGAGTTGAGTTCTGAGTTTAAGGCTGTGGGCATCGTCCAGGAGTTGGGGTAGGGTACGAGGCAAGGAAAATTGGGGTAAGAGAATGAGGTTTAGGACCAGGAACCTCTTCCATCACTATTAGCTCTTGCTGTTCTTTTTTTGCATAGGAATCCAAGTGGGTTTTTTAATGAAGAACAAACTCGTGCAGCTTGTGAGTGAATTCATTCACGCATGTTAATCGTTGTTCTTCTCTACGTGGAGCTGCAATTGAAATGGATGCTTGTGGTCTGATGTGCAGCCCCCTCTGACATGCTCAGCTGAGCCAAGTTTGCAAAACCTGGCTCTCGGTTGGTGAGTTGTGCCCAAGTTCAGAGAGTTGACTCTTGTCGGCTTTGAGACGCATCTTCCAGTTGCACGCTGTGTTCTTCCTGTTGCGTTGAGGTCTTGAGCTCCAGCCCTAAGTGAGGATGCAAGCGCTACTGCAGAAGGGATGGTTGAGATGGGAAGTGCAGTGCAAAGGGCTGGAGCCAGCAGGAGCAGGGATGTTATCATCCCCTGTACTCAGCTCTGGTGAGCCCTCACCTTGAGTGCTGTGTTCAGTTCTGGGTCCCTCACTACATGGAGGACATTGGAACCCTGAAATGTGTCCAGAGAAGAGCAGTGAAGCTGTGAAGGGTGTAGAGCACAAGTGTTATGGGGGGGGCGGCTGAGGGAATGGGGATTATTTAGTCTGGGGAAGAGGAGGCTCAGGGCAGACCTTATCCCTCTCTACAATGAGTTGAAGAGAGGTCATGTCGAGGTAGGGGTCGTCCTCTTTTCCCATGTAAGTAGCGATAGGACTGGAGGGAACGGCCTCAAGTTGCACGGGGGGAGATTGAGGCTGGATGTTAAGAAACACTTCTCCACAGGAGTGGTCCGACGCTGGAACAGGCTGCCCAGGTTGGTGACAGAGTTACCGTCCCTGCAGGTGTTCAAGATACGTTAGATGTCCTGAGGGACATAAGGGGCTTAGTAGGAAATGGTGGTTGCAGGTGGACGGTTGGACTGGATGATCTTGGAGATCTTTTCCAACCTTGCTAATTTTATGTTTCCATGAAAGGCATCTGCTGAGCGAGTGCTTTGGTGGGTGAGCATCAGGCTGCTAGACAGCAGGCAGCTGTTGTCTGTGCAGACAGCCACATCCATGGGGAGTGGAGGCTTTTTAACCTTAACCTTGTCTTTCATGTCTCATGTGCAGTAAGGCATGTTGTTATAAAGCACCATCGTAGGGGCAACCTTGATTTCTGTAGCCACCTGAGCTCTCCCCCATGCTCCTCCCTGTGATGTGAGACCGTATTGGAGGCCATGCAGAAGCCTGGGTAGGTGAAGTCAGTTGCTCTTCCTTTCCCCCCCCGATGCTGGAAATAGCAGGGAACGGGACTGGGGGACATCGCAGCAGTGGGTTCCTGCCTCAGCAGGACTGAATGGCCGTTCTGGTGCATGTATTTTGAGTGAATCTGACACCAGTTAGAGAAATGAGGGCCCTGTGGACAAAAAGAATGTGCCACGTTTTGCAGTGTAAGGTGTTCTCTGAGCTGCTGCTAACAGTGCCCAGCATGCTTCCTTTTTGATGGGGAGAGGTTTAGCAAGGATTTTTTAGATAAAAATAGTTAATTCCATATTTCCTTTTCATTGACCTTTCTTTCATCTAGTTCTTGAAAAGTTACCTTTGGATTCTAAATTACCATTTATTACTGAATACACGTGCACCCCGCGCTTTTCATCTGTGCAAAGAATCTTGTAAACGTCTGTGTGTGTGTTTCTTCTTGGCACTGAGATGAAGCTGTGTGGAACACAGGCTTGGATGACTTTTCCATCAGATGCAGGGACGTGTAATGCTCATCTTAGATGTCGTGCTGACAAGAAGAGCAGAGAGGTAAATTTTATAGGGTTGCATGCTATTATTTTTTTTTTTTTTTTAATTTTAATTTTTAATTTTTTTCCCCTCCAGTCATAACCATGGAACCACAGAAGCGTTACCCAGACAGAAGGAGCCTTTGTCACCTGGACTTCCTACCAGTGACACAGGCAGTGGAAGTCAGCATCCCAAGCATCCATGAAACCCCTGCAGAGGACTGGTGAGAGTTACCTGGTGCCGTCCTTTGGCAATTTCAGGTCTCTCTGTAAGCTCCCAAGCTGTGTCGTAACTCCTCCCGTGGTGCTGACTCAGCTCTCCCAGTCTTTTGTGTGGGAGAGCTGGAGTTGAACTCCTTCCTGCCTCTGTCCTCCCTGCTTTGCCCATGGCCCACTGAGCCTCCATCCCTGTTAGGTGTCTTGAATTACTGAGTTGCTTAAGGATTGGGTGGACCAATTAAGTTCTTAGCGATGTCTCTAGATCCACGTGTGCACAAAAGCACACTCCGATGCAGTCAGTGTAATGATGAATGCACGCCTTGTTTCCTTTAGCCCGTATTTTTAGTTCAGGAGAACAGATTTCTGGATAGATGTTCAGCTTGGCACCAGAATCCCCTTGCCGTCCCCCATTGCAGTCACTTACGAGGGCTTGAGATCCACCGGGAGGAAGTATTGCCGATAATTACAATCCGTGGTTTTAAAAGTGATTTAATCTATGGTGTATGATATGAATAGTCGTGGTGAATGATATGGTAAGGCATCCCAGCAATTTTCAACAGGAATACTTCAAGGCAGCTTTTCAAGGTTTCTTTGAGAACTTTCCAAGTCTCCAGGAATTTTCAGTGCAAAGGTTTCTTAGCCTTCCGAATGGCAGTGTTTCTATCTAAGCTGGCAGCCTTTAAACCCAAACCCAAACCGCAGCTTGCTCATCTCAGTGCAGGTGCCTTAGCTATATTCTAACGCTGCGTGCAAAATGAGTTTACCGTTCACTTGTCCTTTCTGACTCGCTACGTGTTTGATTGCATAGGAAGAAAAGCTTGATGTCTGTGCCAAGGGAGACGTACACCGCACTTGCGCTGCCTGGACGAAGTGGAAACTGGAAATTGTGGGGTGTGCTGAAGCATGCCCTCTCAGGTCAGTCTAAGCATACGTAGAGTAGACCTGTCTAGCAAAACAGGGAATAGACAGTTAAACCCATTCTGTTGGGAAATACTCTCTCCTTCTAAGTACCTTTAGAACGTGAGTTTCTTCAATTAATTACTCAACTCATTTGCTTTTCCTGAATGATCCTAAGTTCTTTTCTCAGGCGACATCTGCACTCTGCTCAGTCCAAGGAGAATCCCTGCCCGCAGATGCAATGACACAGCATGGCTCACCACCTCATTTTTCATTGCTTACTGTTATGGTAGGTGCCATCCATGTCCACCCTGCGTATTCTTAGAGCTTTTCTGGAGTCCATGGGGCAGACTTATGGTTGAACTAAAGGGAATTTTTTCATAATGCTCTAGCTCCAGATGATTATCCCTAGTATCATTATATTTAA